TTCGGTGGAACCAACTTACGAATCCCTTCCATTAACCTTTCCAAACGAGATGAGATGTAATCCAACATTAATCTTATAAGAGATTATTTGAAACCCAGTTTTTCTTCATTCTCTACGGATTTTGACCTTTTACCGCCACTAATCAAGGTTTAACATACCAACTGCATCACGGAGGCTTTTTTGCCTTTATGATTTTCACATTGTTCTCCATACTCAATGCCATCGGATAAAATGCATATCATAAGTCAACTTAATAAGTAGTAAGATTTTTTCAAACTTTCGCTAATTCACAATATACATGAGCAGGTTAGAAAGTTTCTTCATTGTGCAGAACAAATATAGTCTTTCACTCTTAGATGGTCTACATTAATCAGACGGTTTACTCTTTGAAACAGATCAAATAACTGGTGAAAGCAGTCGTGTCTGAATATATCTTTGTCGTTTGGTGGCAGAAGAAACAAAATTTGTATATTTCCAGACTCCCGCTTCGCAACTGCCTATTCGTCAATTTCCTGTTCCCCAATAAACTCCATTATCCGATTCATCAGTTCCATTTTCACCTTGGTCGGAATCCAACTTTGTACTTTGGGTTTAAGGGCAGTGACAAGAGTTTCCAGCTTAATTTTATTCGGGTCAGGCAGGTCTTTGCAGTGAACATTCTGCTCAGTCACAGTATTTTGTCGAAGCCATGCTATGCACTCGTCGTAGACACGATCGTTCCAGCCGAGTTCACTAAGACGACCGGGTAAATAGGCAAGCAATCTGTCCGACTCTTTGGAAGTGATGAGGCGCCTTGAAACCTTTTCGATTATGTCCTGAGACGGTCCTGAGATGGTGAGATGATTGAGGGACATGGTCTTTCTAAACGAACACCATGCGATTGAGATTCTCACCCAAAGTCCTCTTTTGAACGGACTGCTTTCTGATCGTCCCGAGATCGATCAATCGGGGCTTGTGTCGAGCTCTGATGTAGCATCGGACGTGAGCCTCCGAGGCTTCCATGTAATTGCACTCCGGATTCTATTGTCATGTTTCGTATAAAAAGATGAGTTCACCTCAGCCCAGGCTCATGTGTGGCATGAAAGCAGGAGAGAATGAATTTTCTACTTTAACCCTACCAGGCCTTGCCCATGCTAAATTTGGTCTAAAATGTAAGAGGCTTTCTTTGAGTAAATGGGCCACATGAAGTGGAGTTGAACGGAAGGAA